GTGAGTCACAACTGAAATCTTTGTAACAAATAAACAGAAGAGACGCTGTCTAAATTGAGAGAAGACAGAGGGATAGAAAGGGAAAATGGTATGAAAATTAGATATATTAGATCAAACAGAAGAAAGTATAAGTAGGTTTTATCCCATATTTTGAATGGCTACAACAGAGTTATACCCTTTGTGATCCTTTTGTTTCTTTTATTTCTTCTCAGTATTCAATCACATTTTCAATATAAATTATCGTATTATTTTGCAGAAAACACTTTGTGTCCCTTGGTGGATTTATTCATCTAATTAATGTTTTAAAAAGAACTACTGAAAGCAAATATTGCAAGAAATAATTTCCAAACTGAAATTTATACACTTGAAAGCTGATTCCTACAAAAATGATTCGGCTCTATAAAAAAGAAGCAATCCATCAGCTCCCCAGACCCAGACATGGGCCTGGTAGGATTTCTTTTTCATAGGAAATTACTGCTATGACTGATTCTTGTTAACCCAAGGGGGAAAAAAATCCAATGGCACGGCCTAATCAGAGACTGAGACAGAATGTTCTATTGTCTGAAATGATTATCTTTGTGTAGTAGTTGAAAGACAAATTAAATGTGTTAGAATCAAGTGAAATATTCATTTTCCCTCTTAACTTCACAAGGCTACCTCACTTTAACTGAATTACTACTAGGTGACTTTGCCTTTAACTCCTCTTGCATCCTGATAATGAAATATAGATCCCATATTTCATTTTTATTCAGACTCACAGTGGAACACTGTCTGCTGGTGAGAATTAATGAGGCCTGTTCCAATACCCCTAGCTAGCTGTGTTTGTTGCCTCAACCGTTCCTTCAAACCATCCCGTACTGCTAAGGACTGTCAGATGCAACTGCCTGTCATATAACCCTTTTGTAAGTGGCCTTTTCTAGAGAGCTGTTTCCACCACCACGACCACCTTTCCAGAAGGCTCTTGCCAGCTCTGGAGCAGGATGGAGACAAGATGAAAATGTTTACATAGCTTATTTTTTTTGGTTGTATTTATATGTGTTCCTAAGTAGACCAAGTTATATCTTTCAGTGGAAAATGCAGAGATCCAAAACATTCCTGAAAGTTAAGGTTTCCATGTTATTTTCTGATTTCCCAGGTTTACTAAACGTGCAGATAGTATTTGTACTTTATTTTTTATTTTTCAATTATAGTTTACATTCAATATTATTTTGTGTTAGTTTCAGGTATACAGCAGTGGTTAGACAATCATATAGCAGACAGTATTTTTAAATGTCACAAATCCTTTTCTTCACTCTTCAGCAGGAAGTATTTGTCACATGATAAACCACCAGACTGAAACAGTGAGCATTGCAGGAATCGCCTTTCCCCATTTTCTTCTCCTCTCACCCCAATAGGTGGTAGGAATGGAAGGGACTCTTCACAGAGTTCTCTGGCAGACTGAATCAGAGGAAAAATGATAGATTAGTTCATGGTTTTTCTTGAATTCAAGAAGCAAGTCTGCTTTCCATTCTTTTTATACCAAGAACATCTAAAACAGAAACAATAACATTTCAGTGTTCCTTTTAAGGTGTTGACTATGAAGCTACCCCTGTCATTAACAGCAGCTCAGACAGCAGTTGGGTTTGATGAAACATCAGTAGTGTGATAGGGAGCTCTCAGAACAATAAATGTGGGCATTTAAACTTGTAACACTTACCAGGTGGTGCTGGTTCATGTTATTTTTCTTCTAAGAAATTGGAAACTCTTTCTGTTGTTATTGTATTAATGAAGTAGGTGTTTATTTTCTAGTAAAAAAGAAAAAAGATATACTTAAATGATAAATCATGCCTCAGTGCTTTTTCTATATTTTGAATAAACTATGCATTTAATCATCGCCTAGCAACAAAGCATGGGCTCTGGAGTTCAAAACCTGTCCACCCTCCAACACCTGGCTATATGACCTTAAGCAAAGTATTACCTATCCCTATTTCCTCCTTTTGTAAAGTTGAGATAATGATAGGAACTACTTCCTACTGCTGTTATTAAAATTAACTGAGATAATACATATAAAGCACATAAAGTAGTATATTTCAAGGAGTTAGATCTCCATTAAGTGTTACTTATGACAATTAATTACAATATTATAAATGAAAACTATCCCTATATATTATCCTTTAATTTGTAGACACTATGAAGGCACGATATGGACTTCTTTGATACCAATTTTTAAAAAATATTTTTATGGTTATAGATTTACTTCAGATGAGCTCTCAAATTAGTCCTGTTGTTTCTCCTCCCTCCATGTGCATGACTGGGGAGCAAACACGCAACCTTTTGGTTCCCAGGGCGACCGTCTAACTAAGTAAGACACACGGTGAGGGCTCATCTGTTTATACTGCATGGAACTTGGTGTTTTTCATCTTTGCTTAAAATTAATATGCTTAGTGAAATCAAGGCTTAGTCTTCTTCATGAAATGAGTAGCTAATGATGCCATTGTTCCTTTTTATACGGGTGAAATGAACATTTTCTCATTTTACCTCCAGAGCACAACACTAATTAGACTTTTTGAAAGATATTTGCTTACAAAAGTAAATGAATTCATTTTCCCCTCAATCATAAGTCAAATCTCCCTGGGAATCTTGCACTTTTATTCAACATTTCAGAGAGAATTGGCTTTGATAATATAATGTCTGTGCCTAGTTATGGCTTGTTTAGAAAATAAAAGAAGACCTTCCAATTAAAGCCTCCTGTGAAACAATTCAAAATTGTTCAGCCTCTGCCTAACTTGAGAATATTTATTTCATACAATTCCCATTTTTCTACAAGGAACTTGTTTATAAGAACTGAGACTAAAGGTGGTCATTTAAGGGAAGCCCTTTCTTCAACCCCAGCACGCCATGGGGTGTAAGACACGATGCTGCCCTTAGCAGCCCCTCTGTTAGTTAGAACTGCCCAGGGCATGGTCTTTATTTGCACTTAAATGCTTTTTCATGTACCTTACACTTTCTTTTTCCTACCCTATGCACAAATTTTACACTTCTTCCTTTGATACCTGAAACAATATTCTCCCCAGAAGGACTATTGTTATAGAAATATATGCCATGGTTTGGTTTTTTATTAACAGCTCTCTAACCTACATATTCTTTTTTTAAGGCAGTCATCCACTGCAACACTTAAATGCTTTGTATTTGACAGCCTGCATATATAGATGCAAGATTTGTGCAATAAGAACTTCTTGTTACTTCTTGTATCCAACAACAACAAAATAACTCTACCTGCTGCAATTCAATACATATGTATTTCTCCCATTCACTGTGACCAGACTGACATTAAATTATGTTTTATTTAAAAGAACAAATGGTGGAATGACAAAAATTTAAAACTAAGAGAATAAACAGATTAGCTATGCGGCAAAAAAAAAACAACAACAAAACCCTTCATTCCATAGTTATTCTTCCTATTAAATTTCTTAATTGGGAAGAGTTTTTTTTTTCTAGTTTCTTAGCATAGTGAGAAATGGAATGGCTCATTTCTGTAAAATAAATGTCAAAACCTAAAATTAATGTGTATTTTCATTGAAAAAGTATGTATGTTATTTGGTTTTAATTTTATTTTTTATTTTTGTTTTTGTCTTTGTGAGTAGCATTCAAATTGCACAACGCTCCCAGAGACATTCTGTGGTTGATGGTGTCACATTTTCTCCTTCATTCTTTACCACCAACAGAATTTTGTTATTCAAAATACATACATGTGTATAATAATTAAGATGGAATAAATATAAATACACATATATTGAATCCATATGTTTTATTTTTAATATAAAAAATGCATAGGAATCTTGAAAGTACTTATATACAGATCAGTCCCACAGTCTCAAGTATTTTTTTCCGTTACTCTAGTTAACACATTCATTAAGAAAATTCTAATAAACTTAAGACAATATGACACCTTCTCTATCTGTGACTTTTCTATGCACTAGAAAAGCAAGACAAACTAAACATTACTCTAATTTTATTATTAAATATACAATGATATCTCATTTAAAATTTAGGTTATTGTAATAAAATAGTTCCAAATAATTTCTGTTTCATAAACAAAATGTAACATGAGTTTGTAATTTTATTTAGATTTGAAGAAAGTGTTACCTTGAATTTATATATAGATTAGCATCCTATGTGCTTTACATCTTCTTTTACTTATCCATTCACATTTATATTTTCTTTATCTCATCTCATTTTTTTAGCCACCCAGAGTTCTTTCTGATGAGGGACAGTATAAATAAATTAATTAAAGTACATTTTGAAATACTTTTCAAGTGGAAAAGGTATTAACTGTGAAGCAATAGTGTAATAAATTTGTGAACTATGGAACAACATAACTTATAAAACTAATCACCTTAGGAATTTATTTCTACATTTTGTAAGTTGGAGTATTTTCCTTTAAAGGGTTCTAAATTGTCCAGATTCTGGCTATGCAGTGACAACCTTCACCTAAACTAAAACCCAGGGCTGTGACAAGGAAGATCAGTTCAATTCTGAGTGTGACATTCATTTCCAGGCATCCTCAACCGGATTGTAAGTTAAAGCCACTGTATTTCCGATCCTGACACAGCAGGCAAGCAGGGAACCCACTCTTCAGTGAAGATGCTTCCCCCTCTACGGAGAACAGCAGAGTCTATACCAAATGACCTCTGGTTCTGAGTCATAGCTCAGAAAGACCCAGAGGTCCCCCAAGGACAAGCAGCAGTCAAGCCTTTTGAGCTGACAATAGCATTTGTCCATAAAATTTATTTATTTATTTATTTATTTATTTATTTATTGAAATGTTTTATTATTACCAGCAGGACGGGCATACATGGGGTGGTAGATGCACTGAGCTTGGGATAGATGTGGTCCGTGAGGAGATGATGATGATTGGGAAGCGGGAAGGAAAGGGGGTAGGTCTGGAGACCAGCTCCAAGGGCTCCTCAGCAGCACTTCTGGGAAGGCTAAAGGACTCATGGCAAGCTACTGCCAGTCCTTTAATTTCTAAGATTAAAAAATTCTTGGAAATCTAGCTGTCTATCACTGTTCATGTCCAATTTCTTCATCATGCGGTCAAGGACACCGGGGTCCTTCTGGTTCTTTGTGAAGGCAGTCAGTTCTGTATTCATGAAGGTTAGGAACTCAGTCTTGGAAAGCGTAGAGCTGTTAGCGTCCTTTCCGGCACACCTCCGGAAAACAGCAATCAGAGACTCGATGCACCGCTCGGTCTCCGTAGGGCTGGATATTTTTGCCATGTCGGAGGAGAGCGAGGCACGGAGGCTGTGAGCGGGGAGCGGCGCAGCGAGCTCTCTGTCCATAAAATTTAAAGTATATACTGAGCAAAAGTGAAAAGGGGAAAATATTAAAAGTTATCAAAACTTTTGAGCACATAAAATGTCTCATAGGGTGTTTTTCTTTTAATTCACTCTTCTGTAAATGAAACATTGTGACTAAGGATAAGCATCCTTCTAAAACAAAAATATATAAATCTTGTTTCAGAAACAACTAGTCTTAGAAGGGATATAATTATTTTGGACACCATCTGAAGATTGTTAAAATCTTCCCAACAATATCAATTTGGCAAAAAATCAGCCTGTGAAGAAATACGCTTTTTTATTCATTGGTATGGATGATGAGGTGTCTATGCAATAAAGAAAAAAGAGGAAAAGAAAAATAATACAAACTAAATTGATAAAAGTGTGTGATTATCAACACTCTTAATGTTGAGTTGATTGGAATAGTTCTTTGATAAAATTCAATAGCCTTTTAAATTAATAATCATATTTATTTGGTAAGCCTTACACTGAAGATAAAAATCAGTCACTGAGTCCCAGGAAAAGGTTGAGTTCTCTTTATGCTTTGTCTCTTATTGTCAATGCATTGACAATAGATGTTTTCTTGCTACAATTAAGAAAAGAGAGGTTTTTTTCTGCTGTTGGCAAAAGCTATGTCAGGTTTATTTTCTACAAATGGCAGTGTTAAGGGACTTTGAAATAACTATCAACAATCACCTTAAACCATTGCAACATGGGTTACAGACACCTGAAACTTTCATTGCTTATAAAATCACGATCTTCAAAAGTAGTGGCTATTGGATCACTTGTCTCTAAACGCCATCACTAAAAACAATAAGCTTGATTCTCAACTCAAAGAGTTCTTTTCTTCCTTTGAATCTCACAGAATGAAAATCTGACCCACTATGTAAATACTCACTACTACATCCTTTAAAATGTACATTGGATTGTATACAGTTTGTGCTTTGAGTTTTTTTTTTTTCTTTATCATGTCCAATAGAGATCTCCGAGAAGAGTAACTTAGCCCTTACAACACTGCCATTTTCCAGGATGCGTGCCAAGTGAGTACTTAGGAGGATGGCCTTTGGGCTGGGAGGAGAGTGTTATCCTCTATCTGGACACTAGACACAATCCAGGAGGGTCCCAGGAGGATAGGTTCTGTTATCTGATAGCTCTTTTCCATTTCTGACTAAATAGATGTCAGGAGTTTCCAAGGGGTTAATATTTCAATTTAGACCAATAATATACCTCTTCAGCAGCTTCCTTGAAGTTAGCAAGTCATATTTGTATTATCTTTAGTTTCTTATTCTCAGAAACATAGATTCTATAAATGATTTCTGTAATCACAAAAGAAAATACAGATTTTCAACCCTTCATTGAAACCAATTAGCAACCTCCCATTGCCACTCTGTGTTCACAAGAAGAAAAAAATGGTTCACTTCTTCCTTTTGAAACTTATCGTATATACAGAATTTTGAGGGCCTTCAGGATCCTATTTTATCATAATCATAATGTTTTAAAATAACATTTACCCTTTCTACATTTTGTCAATTTAATTTGGTTTCTACTATTTTTAAAAGTCACTCTACCCAACTATTATTATATTTTTGAACCCCAATCCAACATGACATGAACATTATAGTGATATTTATGATTTAGGCAAAGGTTTTCAACCATCACTGCAATAAGTTAGAAAACTTTGCTCTAATACTGAAGCCAGACCAGGGCCTCATACCCAGTCTAAGGTGATAAGTCTAGGTCGGACCCCTAGCATCTGTATGTTTTTAGAAACTTTAAAATAATTTTATTACTTAAAAAATTGTTGTACATGCTCTAGGTATTCTTGTGCAGCCAAGGCTGAGAACTATTGATTTAGTGCCTAAAGAAGAACATAGATGCCTTTCTACGTGTAAGTGATCTCCAAAAACAGAGTGAACTGTAATAGTGAGGCTTCACAAACTATTTTTTAAATTTTCTTATAAGATTTAATGATAAACTGTACAACTAAGTATGTTTCCCATTCCCAGTGAGTAATGGGACTATTACATGACGTCTTTGTATTCCTCTTCTCCTTTATTCTCTATATTTTGGGAATATTGCAGCCATTAACAATTGAATCAAGAAGCAGGGAAGAAAAAAGAGAAAGTGAGGGGGTGGGGAGTGGAGGGGCCTAACGCTTGATGAGCTAGATCTATCAGGAGTCAGCACTGCCATTATCTCTGTTTTCTTTCATCCTTTTAACCACTGTGGGGTGTATGGCATTAAATCTATTTTATGGGCGAGAAAACTACTTCAGAATGAGTATGCAGTTTTTCCAATTTTACATCACTAATAAATGGTGGGGAAAGCATTTTAACCCAAGAATATCTGGCTCATAATTCACATTATTTTCACCAGCTCCAAGGAAAAATCAAAGATTTGTGTTATTATTTTTCACTGGTGAAAAGGGAAGGAAAAAAAGAGGAAAGGGAGATTTGAAAAAATACTTCAGCAGTTTTGTGATTATTTTGGCACTGGAAGCCATTGAATTTTCATGCCACCATACACAATAACCACTTGATTTTACACTACTGCAAAAAGTCAGCTGCTGCAGCACATTGCAAACCATGGGGCTGAGAGCAGTGGTGTATGTCTGTGCAGACAGAACAAAGAGGAAATGCACCTCACTTGATACTAGAGCTGCTGCAATGCAGCACCTTCCGACTCTATGGCTTCACTGGAGGGCAACCTGCCAAAATGGAGATGGGAAATTAGGAAGAACACACAGAAGAAACGGAAATTCTTACATCCTGTCACTGAACCACAAAGCCTAGGATATTCTGATTAACTTGTTCTATACTCTAAAAATAATTAAAATGTTCTTCCTCATTTTCCACTACCCTCATCTTGGCATATAGCTCTCACTTCCCCAGACTGAAGGAGCACTTTGACAGACTGTGTGTATGTGTATGTGTGTAATAAAGACATGAGAGACCTCTATTAATCCCTGCAATCTAGCACTGTGGGTGTATGAAGAGAGAAAAATCTGAATTCAAGTCCCCAAGCAGCAGCTATAACTTGCATAAGAACCTAGCTCCAGAGATTCAAAATGGCAACAGAGCAGGTGGATGTTACTCTCACCTCATCCCAGGACCAAACTGGAATTACAGCTAAAATATAGAGCAATCAACCTGAATAACTAAATGACGACTAACTGAAGTCTACAACCAAAGATTTACAGAAGATACCTCGAGACTAGTAGGAAGGGCAGAGACACAAAAAGGGCTGGCCCTGCACTCACCACCAGCAGCTGAGGTTCTGGAAGAAACCTGAGGAGCAAGGGGTTTCAACCTCACACCAGACTCCGTAGCCCAGAACACCAGAGCCAGGAAGAGTCACCCACATAAATTCTGGTTGTGAAAAGTAGCAGGGATTCTGTCTGCCAAGAAGAAATAGGAGTTTGCTAGAGACACAGTCACCCTTTTAAAAGGCCATTGCACAAACCTCACACACAAACACTCACCCTGGGCTCTGGTGAAAGGAGAGCAGAACAGACTAGAGTCCTGCAAGGAAAGACAGGTTTATGGCTCTGGGGAAAACGCTGAGAGGTCAGGCCCTGGGAACCTTCCAGTTCTGAGTCACTCGCCAATACGGCAGACGTCACCTTTCTTAGGTGCAATACACTCCTCCATACAGCATCAGCTGGGGAAATGCAACAGCCCCAACCCTATAGAGCATGTGTCCTGTTGAGAAGTCAGCTGCCTACACTGTGGTGTAGAGATCCAGGCAGATTCAGGAGGTATCGATGACTGAGTTGTGTGGTTTGGGGCAGGGGCCATTCCACCTACTTTCCCTGGAACCTGATTAGAGCTTCCCTCTCATGGGGGATCTGCTAGCTCCACTTTCCTGGATCCTGGTGGCCCTACCCTCCCAACTCCTCATGGCTCCTCCTGGCCAAGGTCTGACCAGAATCCAGGGCAGACTGAGTTGTGTAGTTCTGGAGCAGGAGTCACCCCTCAACCTTCCCCAAAGCCTGACTGACACCTCCCACTCTCCTGACTCCCATCAGCTCTGCCCTGGTCAGACCTGAGTACTGGAAGAATCTGAAACAGACTGAGTTGTGTGGCTCTAGGATGGGGAAGGTTTTTCACTCAAGTGCCCCAGTGGTGCAGAGCCCTCCCTTCACATAGCCAAACCTTGGTTTACGTGGACCTGATAAATACTTCCAGCCTCACCCTGGTGAATGCCTGAGACTCTGTCCCACCACAAAGGTGTGCAAACACCCAGCAGGTAGTAAATAGACTTGGTATACTCTGGGATATTTGCTGAGTGGCCCATACCCAGCACTGTCGTTGAGTTTAAACCTGTATAGATCTGGTGAACACCAATTGCCACTGCCTGGTTACTCACTGAGAACATGAGTCATGCATCTTGAGTACCACCAGAAGCTCTTTCAGTGACTGAGACTAACAGGCAGCTGGCAGGAGAAGACAGACAGAGACAGATATCAAGGTGCCTTGGGACTTTTGCTTACCTGCGACTGGGCCCAGCTCTGATAAGAGCCAGCCTTGATTCACAGCTTGATCTTCCCTGCAAACAGGCCCAGCAGAGACAGACACAAACTGGATTACATTGTAGCTCCGAATAAGTTCCCCAGGGCCAGTCACAGGCAATGTCTGTCATTGGCCTGCACAAGAGTCCCTTCCAAGAGACCCCAGAACAGATACACCCAATGGCCAGCTTTAGACATCAGAGCAGGATCTAATTAGTTTCAATACAACAAATCCAAAGGGAGATCTCAGAAGGCACTAAAAACTGCTCAGGCAAATCCCCCAATTTGTGGTCAGAACCTGAACAGCAGCTCATATGCTGTGGTTGGGTTTGAACCTCACAGTCAGCCAGCCTGAGGATTCTCCCCACACACAAATGGACCAATAGCAATCAGACTAAATTAGAACAGAAGGGCCCCCATATCCCACATA